CTTGAAGGTGCCACCCGAGATAGTATTAATAAAATGCCTATATCTCCTCAACTAAGCAAAATTGCTCAGTAAAATCTATAATATTCTGAATTTGGGGATTCTGCTGGATCGTAAGCAAAATCACTCAGCAAGATATATAATATTTTGAATGTAAACATTCCTCCCGATCGAATGGTATAAAGAAATCTATATATTATTGGGCAAACTTTAGAGTACGGTAGGTTTGAACATGGCACCCCTATAGCCTTGAGGTAGTATTAAGAAAACAGCTATATTCAAATCGCTCAGCAAAATATATGATATCCTGAATCTGGAGGTTTCTCCGAATTGAATGGTGCGAAGGAATTTATATATTTTTGGGCAAACCGGAGAGTGCGGTTACCTTGAAGGTGGCAACCCCCAATGTGCTGGAGTAATGTATATATTTATCTGCAGTGATCTGAAGTATATGAATGATGCGAGTACGGTAGGCTTTTAGTACGGTACGGTGTGATCAGTACAGTACGATGAGAGTGTTGACCATTTTCTGATCTTGGTTCAGTTTGCTTCGAATTTTTTTGATGGATGTACTAAATTTTCATAGGTTCATTGAGATAACACAGTGGAGTGGTGACTCGACGTTTGTTGTTGCTTCAGGGTTGTTTGCATGTACTATAATGTAAATGATTTGTTCATTTATCCTAGTTCAAAGATCTCCCGTATATAGAGGTAAAATGATTTTGAAACAATCCATTCGCCGGTTTGAACCTCGTCAACTTAAGACTCATCGTGCCAGCTGACAGTCTGAATCCTTTTCCGCAATTTATTTCCGCGCTGAGCTTGGTTGTATTATAGTTGTGTGAAATCTGTCCTCACAAGTTTGACGTTTCTTCTTGTCCTGTGGCATGCTTGTTCAAGTGCACAACACCAAATATTTCCAATGAATACAATTTATTAGATAGCAGAACAACAACAATAACAACAATTTGGTATGTTCTATAGAGGAGGGTACTGTAGCCTGTGTTCTCGCGCCGAAAAATTTATCAATCCCATCTTTCTATCTTATTTTAATTTATTCTATTCACCTCATATTATTTACTATTTTATTTTTTTGCTCACCTTGCCGCTATTGCTAATAATATTTCCATCACTATCTGCACTTATTATTATTCTCTCCGACAAATCGCGTACCAATATCGCGCATCCACAATTGACAACATCTAAAGGTATTTTTTCATTCACAACAACAAGAATAACGAAGTCTGAAAAAGAATCAAACGACCCAAAACAATAACGAAACAAAACATTACCGGATGCAAGGCCATCTATTGCATATATCAATAAAACACAATAATCAAAACCAGTGAAACAATTCAAATTCTATCACATTTACGTTCCGTTAGATGTAATCACAGTTCCGTTTTGCGTTCAATTTTCAACAATTCCACATCAAATTTCAGTGTCGCTCCAGCTGAAAAAAAATCAAAAAAAATGAATTCATTTGATAAATATCATTTTCTTAACAATTTCACAAAACGAATACGATTCATCCAAAATGACCAAATACATTACATTTGTACTTTACATTTATACAAATAAATTACTTTACAAATTACAAACGCTTTATCGCACTCTATCAAAAATTCAACTAAGTATACACTTCTTCAGTTTAATATTCTACCGCAACGAATAACTTAAATAATGCATATCTCCTAATTCAAAATCAAATGGTCTAATGTCGTATAACTATACTATCAAAATTAATTCCTTTGTCTCTCAACACTTTCAAAGTTGTTAAAATTTATACTAACGTGGTATCTTTGGTGGTGCTCCACGCTCTCCATATCCCAAATCAGCTGGAATTGTCAGACGTCTCTGTTCACCTTCACACATATTCAATAAGCCCTGATCCCATCCCTTAATCACCTGACCCATACCCAACGTGAAAGTAAATTCCTGATTGCGTGTTCGACTACTATCGAATTCGGTACCATCTTCAAGCGTACCCTGTAAACGTTTAAATTCACAAACAATCGCAATCTTCAGTAACATTTCAAAATTTCATCACAAAACATCAAAATGAAACAAAACCAATCAAATAAAGCACTTACAGTGTAATGCATGTGAAGAACGTCACCCTTCATTGCTTTCATATCGCATTTCTCGGCACGTTTCTTGATGCCGATCTGTAAGCGAGTCACCTTCCTCTCATCGCACCAACCAATCGCAACCATCACCGACAGCACTACCAATAACACCATTGAACAACGCATCATTTCTCTGCAATCCTCCTCCTTGATTATCACAAAATTCATAAAACACATCCCGTTTGATCGAACACAATATCGGTGAGCCGTAATCCTAACAACAATAGTAACCTATGAAAGTATATTAGTAATCTAACAAAATGGTACTCCTGTGAGGCTATCGCACAGCTTATGAACACTCAAATCTCCACAGCGGATATCCACTCAAACTCGTCAAATTAAGTGATCCTAAGGAGAATAATTGAACGATCATATGGAAATAATCGGATCAGCAATAGAATATAGTAGCAGTGCGCAACACTATCAGTCATAATCATCACGCGTGGAATGGCCATCTACAACAGCAAAACAAATCTGCTTCCAACATACAGGCCACCACCACCATGAAAAATGGTTTCTATGGCTCCCTGCTTCGTTTCAGCTAATCGCGATATGCGATCAATGAATCGACCGATTGCTGTTTCAAAACAAAAAATATAGAGATAGAAATAAAACGTCTGGAACAAGCATTACAACTAACAAAATACTAAAAATTATTCAAGCAGACATTTGGCATATTGTGCAGCCATCATCGCTTTTTGAACGAATATGTAAACGATAAAGAACCAACTCAGAAACATCAAAAAGAATGTGGAAATCGCTTTAATCAGTCAATCATTTATGGTGTTTGCAAAAGATTCATTAAAAATGTTCATGAACAAGTAACGAATAGTCGGATGATCAAGTGAAGTGATCGTAATCAAGACAAATCAAAGCATTCAAATGAACACTAACTGATATAATCAACCCTCAAATCATATTATAATATCGTGATGAACGAGTGTTTGCATTGATTTCAACTGATCAATCGATATGACATATACATACAATAGTGCATTCATTCAACATCAATCGCCAATCAACGCTGACAATCCGTTGCTGTCAGCGATAATTGTTCGCCGCATTCAATGACAACACACATTCATGACTCATCATTTCCAATATTTTCTGCACACCCAAAACCTCAAAAAACAAAAAAGAAATCACGAACAGTTGATGATTTCACTACCATATAATGTTAACACCTTAATATGAATATGCAAGCACTGCATGATGATCATCAGCAAACAATACGCTAAACTGATACAATACAAAATACAATACGCTTGCTAACTGTAACGTATCGAACGAATAAGAGCAAAAATTTTCTCACATTTCTGCGTAAGTATCAAAAATAACACATGAAACTTCTCTTTGTACAAAATTTTTTTTGTATAAACATTTGTACTTATAAGAAACTTCCCACCTCTGCACGTATGTATCAAAGATAACACGTGAAATTCATGAGAACTGAAAACAGCTCGAATGGGAAATGCAGCAAACTGAATCAAATGATCATGAGTTGATAAAAGAGACAGCAATCCACAACAATTTATACCCTACAATAAAATACATAAATTCAAAATTGAGAAATATCTTAATCGTAATTTTACTTTCTCTATTCTCTACCAAAAAAAAACTGCAACGCAATCTGAACATAATGAGTATAACGTGACGAAATTCACCAAAAAATTTTCACTGGAATGATGTGAAAATATAAAAATAATGCTGAATTGTGGAAATACTAAATAATAATACACACTAAATCAATAATACTAATCATAATGAAAAAATAAAGGTAAATGAATTATACATTATCGGAGGCAACGAATTCTGAACCTAAAAACAGAACGTATACACAAATCAAAGTCGCTAACTGTAAACAGACAACAACGCCTTCGACCTCAAGTTACATCTTGCTAAGCAGCACTTTTCTCAGCAGTCGTTTCATTCTTTAATTTCTTCTCCTTCTCATTAGCTTCCTTCCAAGCAGCCATATCCTTTGCAAATTTCTTTGCCAACGCATCCGCTTGACTAATATATTTCTGAAAATTCGATCAAATTAACTTGGAATGCAATTGAAATGCTCATAATGAGTTATCCAACACACCCGTAAGAGAATCTGCAAATACGGAAATTCAGCTAACCTGTTTCTCACTATCAGGAAGTGTTTTCCAAGCAGCCGCAGCCTCGCTGAATCTTGCGCGTATTTTCTCGGGAGTTCGCTCGGTAGAATCCATTTTTTCTTTTATGTACAGATTGTAGGCCGATGATGGTCGAACAGGACGATTCGCTTCTTCGCGTTTCTGAAGCCGTCATAAAATTCGTTTCACTCTGAACTGTACCACGATAACGTCCGTAATGAACCATAAAATGAACACCAGTCCTGCATTATACCGACAATCGCTCACGCAATCTCAGAAGCTCATAAATAAGAATGTTCGCGAGAAGAAACACCTCTATTCGTGTCATTTCGTTATGCAAATTCTCATGTTCACATCAATAACTTGCATATTATACACTCCATATAAAGAATTTACATAGTACACGTCAGAATAGACTATTGAAATGAATTAAGAAAAGAACTTTGGTTAATAATGCAATGATTCCAGGACAAGAATGGCAATAATATCCGATAAACGATGTAATCAATCGCATTCCGAAATGAAAGTCAAACGTTCATATTGTCAACAGATTCCGACCAATTCATTCTATGAAATTAATAAACGCACTTCATAAAACGACCACCAACAAAATCATACCGCCGCCTTTTCAGCACGATTTCTGCGACGTTTCCGTTCCTCTCGTTGTTTCGCGCTCTCGTCGAGAAGTTTTTGCTTCTCTTCGACACTTAACGCATCGAATTTCGCTATTTTCGCCTTCAATTCCGCTTCCGATTCATCGAAATATTTCTGAAGAGCGAACCAAAAATGAATTCCAAATCCCAACCAACAGACGGAATTTTCCAAACATCCAACATCGAATGTGACGCTTGTCTATACTCAACCAATTCAGTTGGGATTTCAACCACTACTATTATCAGGCAAGGAACCTTTTTCTCGATGGCACCTAATAAATTCCAACGATTTTTGAGTTCCTTCATCGCTTCGGTCACCTTGACGCCATCTTTTTTGACGAAGTGTTCTTTCAAAAAGATCGCAAACGGCGGTGTTTTACGAAATCCGGACGGTCGAGATTCCTCTTTCGGTTTCGTCACCGAAGCAGTTGTCGTGTACTCACTGAAATGATCCACTGGCAACAAGCACAACACATCGAACCGTACAAACCATACTCATAAGGATTCAATCCGTTCAATCTACTCCAAAAGATCACACATCTCATCGCTCCGATCCAAATATTAATACATACTGAGCGAGTGAGCGAGCAAAAAGAAAAAACGAAACGTATTGAACAATTCAATAAAGAACATACCAATATCTCTTGATTGATGGAGTACTTTCGAGTAAACGTGCAAATCTTGTGTTCAGTTGAAACATTTCGGCTGACTGAAACCGAAAACAAAACATTTCAGAATTTGTCATGGATGTTCTACCACTCAACAACGGTATGTTACATAAAACAGCCTTTCACCGTCTCAAACTACCACATTCAATTACGAAAAAACCAAGCGTAAATATTTCAATCGTAAAATCGTAATAAATATTACCATATAACAGTTTACGGAATGGAACCGTAAAGAGCGTGCGGCAAAATCAATTTCAAAGACGAATTATTATTTATTCCGCTTGCACTTCAACACATCCAACAGAGCAACAACCCAACATCAACGCTCAACAATATTGGAACATATAACTTCATAAACACCAAATCGAGCTAATTCCATCATTCAATATACAAATATACAGACGAGTAAGAACGCGCACTGATCCATCAAAATAATAATAAAAAATCTTATGAAAATTCAGGATGATTGCAAAAATTACCGATTCGTTAGAAAAGTCCTTTGAAGATTTAAATATACTGAATGAATGCTTGCAACTTCAATCTCTAAATGAATTACGCCTTTATAAATCAATGCACTTCATTATTCGTCCAGTTGACAAAATACAAATTTGACGGATAGAAATCAGATTTTTTTGTTTTGCAAAGATTACATAAAAGCACCTTACAAGACGATAAATAATGGACAAAACAAGAAAAAAAGCCAAAAAATAAAGAAAACCAGAGTGGAAATCAAATCGATACCAAATCAAAAGCAAATAAATAAACACTCTAAGAAAACAGATTATCATTAATTCCAATCACCGAACTCACTTAACACTGATTATATTGCTGTTGTGGACAATATCTGCAATAATTTACGATTCAATCAAAACAATTACATCCTTTAGTTGCTTTCTTAACAGCTCGCTAACAATCCAGATGCAGGCCAATTGTTTTTGGTGAGTGATACGGAGAGAAAACATTGACGATTACATTTTCACCGATTATCTGCTGTGCTCTTCAAAAGGACACATCATCATCCCACTTTACCATCCTCCGTTCAATCATCAGAAAAGTTTGTAACGACCAGCAGTTGCAGCGCTTCTTGAACCCATTTGCATCTGAAAAGCAGTGCGCTTAGTCCCACGTCGCTGGATTTATCTTTCGATTTCGTTTAGCGATGCCAACTCTCGCAATAGAACAATTTTGAGATTCCGTACACGCATTTGTTTGAATCTAACAATCAGATCATAAAGATCATAAAGCAGAATGACCAAAGAACAAACCATCTGTCGGAACGCATCTTTCATAATGCGTAAAATCTCCTCACGAGCACGTCGCAGAGCTATCTCGGAACGAGCCTCCAAAAACAGAAACAATTTTCGTTCACCGTTTTTCGGCTCCTTATTATTCGGATAGAACGAGCCCTTCACCGATATACCAACGTCAGCGTATTCTTGAACTTGTGCTAAACTATCCTAAAATCCAACAATATCAGTGCTTTCGAACGACTCACTGCTGCTTCAATCATCCAAACGAATCACATACAACACAACGTACAATCACTGAATGACTACATACAACACTATCGTGAGAGTCATTCAACTCACTGCATAAAGATGTTAATAATGAAATCAGATTGTAGCCCACATCCCTCACGTAAACAAATGTTCATGTTCCGAATGCAAGCACATTCAATTTGGCAATCTTCATAAAGATAGTCTAAAATTGAACCTAACTATATTGCTCAATTAATCAACAAAACGCCAGCCTCACGCCAGCTTATCACTAACCCTCGAGCAGATACGATATCGAATCTGTTGCGGAAAATCGTTTATCTCCAATTCCTCCTCAAAGTACTGCAACTCAGTTTCGGCCTCCACGCCAGGCAGTAGTTCAGATGGCATATAATTGAGACGTTCATTCAACTGATCAGCTTTTTGTTTCGCAATCGATTTCGCCTTAAAATACCTCATACGAAATTGTGAACTTTGTAGCAGAGTCATACAAACTGTACAATGAGATACACCACACCCCACTTCAAAAAATGTCTTGGAACATAATAAATCCATCTAAAACAAGCACAACTCTATAACAAACCGAAAGTGTTATCGGAACAGCATCGTTGCCTCGCATCACCGCTTCTGCTGTCAGCGATGTGGCATCTCGCTCGACCGGTGCCGTTGCTCCCAATTGTTTCGCTTCGGCGATTTTCGCAAACGCTGCTTTTGCCTAGAAATGTTTCACTGACATGGATATGTCAAGCACTTTATTGACTATTCGCAATGCGACATTCACTGTCATTGCATGCAAGTTTGATAATATTATCTGTTGTAAAACGACAAGAATTTACCGTAAGACCATCGAAAGCCACACAATCTAAATGGGATGTATGGTAGGATCAGATGATGAAATATGTATAATTTTGAACAGACCTTTTCAAGTTTATCGCCGACGTTGTTGGTCGATGAGGATGAGGTGAGCGATGGGCCGTGTCCCTCGATGACACGTCGTTTACCCTTCATCATACTGCTCAACTGCTGCTCGATCTCATCGTCATCGTCATCGTCCATTGCACTCTCCATTCCGTGCACTAAACGTGTCACTTTCCGTCGATTCGCCTCCTTCTCATCCTCTGCCTAAACCCAACAATCCAATTATTACGCTCACTAAACAAAATTCAACAATGCTCACATAAGGCTCATTCAGAGATTCCCACATTAAACAACCCTGCACGTTTGTTTCAATGAACGAATCTTTGCAAAAGAGTCACCATTTTAAGATAACAGACAGATTTATCTCAGAAGACAATTGAACGAATGAAACAATAAAAGCATACCTGGTCATACTTATATCCACTACCCGAGAAACCACATCCACCAATATGCACAGTCTTTCCTTCGGCAGCCATCTGCGCTTTATATTCCTCCCATATTTTCTTCAGCGCTTCTGGTGGTTCTTTCGATGCAGTTTCAAACGCACGACACACCTCACCAGCCATACGTTCTTGTCCTTTAAATTCATTTGTAAATCACACGAAAATCGAGACTCTCTTTTCACAATCAGTGTTACGCACATATTACCATTAATTGCACCGAAATGTTCAATCTGTTCGCGATAACTAACCACTATCAATCACCAAATTCGACAGTTCAAAAGTAGCAACTCTCATGAAAATGATAATTTCGAGCACATTGCACAAAGAACGCTTCACCAGTAAACCCAACCTGATGGTAAAATAAAGGTGTACGCATAACCCTTGTTCCCAGCACGACCCGTTCGACCGACACGATGCACGTAATCTTCATAATGATTCGGACAGTCGTAATTCACCACCAATATCAACTTTTTCACATCCAATCCGCGAGCAGCCACCGATGTGGCAACCTCAACATTTCAGTCGTTCACATATACTTCAATTAAACACCCCTATTGGGAACATAATACCATCATCAAATAATTCGGGCAGCTGTCTGAGGTCACGCGCTCAACATGTATACATCTTGTAGTGGCTGACACAAGGAGAAGTGGCATACGAATTCGTAATGAACAAATACATCAGTTCACGAAAAATGTTTATAAGCAACTGAAAAAATGAGCAAGCTCTCTAAGCATGCATGCATGTGGTAGAGAAGATTAGAACGAAACTAACCAATAATTTGATTTTTCCGGATTTGAAGTCAAGAATGGTTGAGTCACGGTCGAACTGATCGATACCGCCGTGTAAAGGTGCGCAATTGTATCCACTGCGCATCAACTGCCCCACCAACTCATCGGCTTTCTCTTGCTTATCAACAAACACCAGCACATTACCATGCTCCCAATAAACGCCCAACAACTCGAGTAACTTCAACATCTTCTGATGTTCTTCCAGAATCACAACATTTTGACTTATATCCTCACACACCACACTTTTACCGCCAACCTGCAAGCAAAATAATCAACAAATCAGCAATTCTCACTAAACACTCAGTTGAGGCATAAACAGAAGATGCGGTTGGTACTAGTAACTAATCGAAACGACAATTATTTCTTCCATTCTACGATAACCATAAAATTAAAAAGATCTCTACGATAATAGAAATTTCGACACTGAATTCTTCCACCTCTAAACAAAACCCACCATAATCTCAACTGGCTTGTCGAGAATCTTCCTCGCAAGTGCTTCCATTTGACGCGGGAACGTGGCCGAAAACAGCACAGTTTGGCGATCAGGACGTATATTGTTGACAATTTTTGTGACTTGAGGTTCAAAACCCATATCGAACATACGATCTGCTTCATCCAGCACCAAGTAGGTGACACGTCGAAGATTTGTCACTTTTCCTTGAATCAAGTACAAAACCAATACGTGACACAAACATGCAACTGAATCGCTAAATTTGTTATATATTGACTATAACAGCTTATCTGACTGTTTTTAGTGGAAATTATCAACTGTTAAGCTATGTTATCAGTAAAAGTTAATGGTACCTTTATTGGCAGCCAACATATCCGTCAGACGTCCCACCGTACAAACGATCACTTCAGCTCCTCGCTTCAGATCTCCGATCTGGTCCGATATGCCCACACCTCCGTAAACACACGCCACACGAATGTTTAGCGCTTTCGCGAATTTGTTTGCCTCTTTCCACGTTTGCATTGCCAACTCTCGTGTTGGTGACATTATCACTGCTGTAACCAGAACGATTCCTTCACTCAAATCTTATTTATACCAGTGAAAATCTAAAGTGACCATAACACTTCGAGATCAGCTCTTCAGTGCAGCGTAATAGCGTAAGACTCAGTTTAATTTCAAAGATCCCTATCGTCCGTTTCTATATGTTAGTGACATCAAAGCACCTACCAATCGGCCCGTCCATCTCCTCCAGCTCAGGTTGATCCATGATATGTCGAAACATCGGCAGCAGAAAAGCCAACGTCTTACCACTTCCCGTCTTTGCGATACCAATCACATCACGACCGTTCATTATGGCTGGAATTGCTTGTGCTTGAATTGCTGTTGGCTTGGAATATTCTAATCTATAATAGAAACCAACCACTGATTAGCATTCATGAACAATTTGAGAACGATACGATCAAATGTGCATTCAATTCTCTTGAATTTATGAGATTGCAACTGGTCTTCAGATATCAATTCGAATAAAATACACTTAAAGCACTTTCATTACAATATATCTATCTATCACAAATGAATTTCCTTCGGTATCATTCACACATATCACTTAATCATTACTATCTATCACACAACATAGATCACTGCCAAGGAACACTTCCACTGCAAACGAATGAATTCAACTGATTGTGAGTGTAAACCGACTTTTTGAGAATGTTCAAGATCTTCCACTCGACACCACACTGCGCCCACGACCGAACCGGCTTCGGGCAGTTCTTTCCACGAACACGAATGTCCAACCCCTCTCTGTATTCATCCACTTCAGCTTTTGTCATCTTCGCCAACTCGACTGTTTCCACGTAGAAATCTTTACGGAACGGCCGATAGTAAACCTAGAGAGCGACAATTCAGTGAACTACATCAAAAAATGGTTTCAGGTTTCAAAATTCACATCCAAAATAGTGGTAATAAACTCGTTGACGAGAAGAAAGTTTCAAAAGAGTTCAATACCTTTGAGTGATCTGTCAGAGGTAGTTGTCGTCCTCTAGCGATAAGTGATGAGGCAGCCTTTTCTATATCGAAATCGTCAACCAATTGCTACAAAATCAATTTTTTTAGGAATATCTCAAAAGATTCAGACACAAATAACATCTCTTAACGTCATAAATGCAACATGCTTTCAGTTTTACAGATGTACCGATAATGTGAACATTCAACTACAATTAAACTGCTCACTCTAGTCCTAACAATGAACTGATATATTCTTCAAACATCGATCAAGCACTCTTCACATTCATTCAGAGTATCACTAAAAAACAATCGGTAAACCTCAAACCTCAATTTCATCTTCAGCTTCGATGATTTCACCCTTTTTCGGTTCTGCAGGTACCTCCGTTTTAATCACCACTATTCGAGCCTTTCCATCAGCACTCTACAAAGCACACTGATTACGAAAACAAACATACAGAGACTTTGTTGAACAAACTCCAGACAAACTTGTTTAAATGTAAAATACTAGTAAAATGTGGAAAATACCAAAAGAAGCTGAACGTCGAACAAACATAACCGTTACCTTTTCAGAGCCATATTTCGCAGCCCTCACTTCTTTGTTCACTTCGCTCATATATGCATCTAAAGGATCAACTTCGTCCCCTTCTTCTGCAGTTGCAGTTGCAGTTCCTTCATCGCTGAAAAATTACAACACATTCTCTATGCGAATATCACGTTAACCAAATAATACATAATGAATAATATCGTTGAATAAACAAACAATATGCACGAACTCGATAACAGTCTCCATCATATATGCTAATCAAGCGCTGGGTTCCCTGAACGAGGTGCGGCAAAAAAATTTTAAAAGCAGCTTCCTCGAGAATCCCTCCTGTGATTTTGTGAACTCATACGAATTCTTCGCTCTGTTTCCAACACCGATATCATTTTACAACCGAACACTTCTCGCTCGAGATACTACGATGACTGTATCAGATGTAAATTGGCTAAAAATTCTCAAAAAGACAAACTTATTCTCTTCGGTGCTCGATGCCTGAACAACCTCGTCATCATCTTCTTCGTTATCCAGTGTCCATTTGGGCTGTTGATCCATCGGCTCTGCCTCGGTTTCTTCTTTCGGCTCGTCTTTGCCTCCTCGTTCTTTCTTGCGTCGTTCCTCACGCCACCTCTCGATACGTTCTCGTCGTTTTTGCATCTCTGTCTCCAACTTTCTTTCTGCTTCATCCTACAAACTCCACGATAATTCGACGGAAATATTCCAGCAAAGTGACAAAGTTACGATGATATTAGGTCAATCACATACAATTTCTTGCGAAAATGCATTCGCAAGTGGCTGATTGAATTTAAATTAAAACTAAGTGTCATAAAAATTTAATCGGAGCTATATGAAGCCACTAAATGAAAAACTGTGATGAGAAAACAAATTCAATGCCAATTTCGAACTAACCTTATCAGTCATCGATACTATTTCAGCTAAATCCAAATCACGATCCTTCTTCTTCTCCTTTTTCTTCTCTTTACGTTCCGGTGATCCACTACTTCGGAGCTCCTTACGTCTCTCTTTTGATCGATCACGGTTACGATCACGATCTCGATCGCGCTTGTCCCGTGGCGATCGACTTCGTTCTCGACGACTCTTCTCCTTTCTCGGTGAACGCGATCGAGAGCGACGCTTCGAATCCCGACCACTGCGATGGCTTTTCGAACTGCTGTGACGATCACTTCCCATAATTCGGTAAACGTTCACTGCAATCATCGAATTGATTCATTCATTGATTTCAGAACAGAATTCAATTCTACCGATATGAAAACTGAGGTTAAAACACGAGCGTAATAACAACAACATTAACAATCCCAGCGATAATGAGGACGATTCGAGCTATGGTGATGAAAATGACAATAATATTAATTTAACAATACAATAAACACAGTGACATCGGTAACGTATCAATTCAGGAAGTAAAATAAATGCAGAATTTGAAATATAGTCACATGAACTCAGTTGAATTAGAAGCTAGAGTGCAAAGCTTGAACACGTCATTCATACACCAACAAGTAAGCTTTACCGGCTAGTCACTCTCACTACAACCAGCAAACTACACGCATCAAAATGCGTTGACAGAAGAGACACTCTCGGATTCATGCACTCTCGCATTTTCACATGATCATTCTATTGTGCGCACGTGCACAATAGAATTACAATCGTCATCATTTGGACGCGTCACATGCAAATCATTTCGTTTTTTACAAGCACAACTTTTTTCAGAACACAACTTTTTCAGTTTTTCATTTTCCATACGTTTTCTTTCAGCGAAAATTTCTAAATACTTTGAAATTAACTCCGTAATCAGAAAAATCACACAGAGTTCTATTGCTAACGTCACAATTATGATGAATTTTTCATTTAACCAGCACGTTTTATTCAATTGAACGTTTAAAAATTTAATCCTAAATGAAGATTTTAAGGGTACGAGCGACGTTCAACGGGATTAAATGGAGTACCAATTCGAGGAGGAAAACGACGCAAGCGATTCGCGGACAACTTATCGTTTCAATGAATCAAAGGTTAATCTTTATTTCCAACGGTTAGTCTTCTTCTTATCAAAATTTTTCCACTCCAAATTCTCACCTCAGCATTAGCTGAGACTTACCCAACTGAGCTCTCATTTCGTTCGCATTCCTCGCACCTGAGTTCTGTCCGCTATATGCGCCAATCTACTCCGAAAATTCTCAAATTTCAACCGATTTAAAGGCTAAATCGCATTCTTAAGTTCTCGTGGCTCTAAATGAATTGAAATGAGCGATATTTGCAGCCTCTCTCGGTGGTTTTTTGATGGGAGGCATTACGGGGAAATGATTCTCTTCTCCAATCCGCTCCCGGGGATATCAGCGGAGTTGCTGATGGGTGAAGGGTTAAACTGGAGGGTAGGCATGTTGGCCGGTTGAAACGGTCATCACACTACGAATCGCCGTTATGAGAGGAATCCGGACAATTTGCCTAAAAACGTTTTGCCTAACNGTTAGGCAAAACGTTTTTAGGCAAATTGTCCGGTCACGGAATGCAACACATCCTCTCATATTCGAGCCCCCTCCTATAATGAGGGTCTGCGTCTCATTAAGAAATTTCCGCCAAAGGAGATTTGAGCAAATCAAAGCAGAACAGATGAGAATAACCAGTTATTAATACGAAAATTTGAGACGCAGACCCTCAACACTCCGGCGGGCATCGGTGAATGAGACAGTGAATGAGTGAAAAGACATGCGTTGCTGAAGATTTAACTGTTCCTTATGCAGATAGTGGATTGATTATGAATCATCTATTTGACGGTTTATAATCAATCCACTATCTGTATAAGATCATGAGTGATTGATTATAAATCATGCGAGTAAAAATGGACAAAAAGTTTATTCTAGAGGTAATCGTTAGGGAAACTGATAAAGTTGGGAATCACTGTATTAGATTACAGCTGATGAAAGAAACCATATCCCAGAATCGAGGGGGTTCCAACATGAGAGGATGTGTTGTAACTCAGTTATGAGGCGGATGAAGAAATGAGATTAAATGCACCGTAATCCTAGTGAAAATGAGAACAACAACAATATTAATAGCAATGATAACGACAGAAATACTATTAAATGAAAGAATACCTACTAATTGTTATAAAAATCGAATACCGCATAAGTAGCTGTCATCTGCATAACGAGATGACAGATAAATCAACAGAACATGCAGCAACAAGAATTTTTTTAAAATAAAGCAGCATTAATTAAGTAAACCATTAATTAATTAAGCCACTTCTATAGCTAGCTGCCACCTGACGGGTATCGAATTATTTACTTTCGATAATTTCCTCATGTGTTGTTTAAAAACATAATGATATCTTTGGTACATATTCAGGAGTTTGATGATTAGAAATGTTGCGAAATTGTATTTCATTTCGTGAGTCTACTCAATACTGCTTTTTGAATGTTCATGAGTCTCTAGAATTCCCTTTCCCCTCTTATATTTTCATATGTATAATCTTGTTTTCCTTTATATTTCCGTAACTCCTTTGCGAGTAATATGATTGTAATATATGATCTCACTGTTACACAAAATAGTGGATGAATGCTGAAATTTGTTCCTCATTCATTAATTTTTTCCTTGTTTCTAACTTGTACCTCAATGTACTACAATTCCTACAACAAGGACAAATTAAATGAAGATCCGACGTTAGAGGCTGGCTACCACGGAATGAGAATTGGGGACCGAAATATAACTGTTTGTTTTCGTTAGAAGAATATGGGAAGTATCGGGCGGTATGAGCCGTTATTGGGCTCTTGATTATGTTAATTACACCGCCGAGGTCACTGTAAAACACTGTAACATTTCATTACTCACTGTTTGCTCAGTGAGGGTAAGTGTCCCAAAAATTTATATTGTTAGTTGCGAATATTTTTGGGCACCTAATTCAACCCCATAAGTCGAAGAGGAGTCATAGGGCGAGTAGCATGCCAGCTCCTCAGGTGGGGTTCTAACTAAGCAGCGACCTCATATAATATGGTTGGGGAACGGGAATACCGGACTTTATACCGAATATTATTGCTAACTGATGATACCTCCCTCAACCCAAATGATCTCAAATTAAATTATGAAGATCTCAAGATGGATCCTCCCTCAAAATCGGTGGTAGCAGCCTAACAAGATGGATATTAAACATTCACAAACAACTACAACAATCATCACATCGGAAAGATCTCAATGTGGATTCAACGAATCGAAAAAATACGAATAAAAAAAAGAAAAAAAAAGAAAATCAAAAAGAAAAATGAAAAATAAAATAAAATTAAAGTAAAAAATGAAAAAAAACAAAATAAAAAATACAAAAATATGAAAATAATAAAAACAAAATGAAAAAAATAAATGAAATAAATAAAACGAAATGAAAAAAGAAAAAAATAAAAATAATAGAAATAAAATTTTAAAAAAATTAAAAAATTATGTTACGTAATATCTAATTTTATGTAATTCTTGCTATGCAACATTATTTAATGTTCTTTTTTTTTATTTTATGTAACATTTAATTTATGTAACATTATTTAATGTTCTCTATTGTAAATTACAATTTACTGTGATGTCCCCCTTTAATTGTATCCCCTTCAGCTATAAATCTTACATGATTATGAAGTATTCAATTGCTAGCACTGTATTATACTGTACCTACTTCATGTCACTTGTAATGATATGTTAATGCGGAACATTGATTGTATTAACCTACAAGGATGGCAGCTAGCTAACAGAAGTTACTAATTATAAAGCCATGAATATAAGGCAAATGACATTGATTGCCTCAGATATCTACTAAAAACGATTGATTAAAATGGTCAGTATAATTATTATGCATAAAAAATGTAGCAGTCCACCAAAAAAAAATCCGACAAAAATTCAAAAATTTGAGATCAAAAACGCAAATAAAATGGGAGGGCGATATGAGGAAAATATGCAAATTGGCAAAGAAACATGCAAATGAAGCGGAGCTAGTGTTATGCAGATGACACTACATATGAGGTAAGAGGTTGCCAAAAGGCAGCCAGAGGGGATTAATCGCAAGAGATTCGGGAGATCGCTTGTTCGTAACGGCGATTCGGCGGTGATGACCGTTTCAACCGGTCAGCCTGTGCATGATTCGGTTTAGCCCTTTGCCTATGAGCTACTTCATTGGTATTCCCGGGAATGGCTTGGGTGAGGAGGATCGTTTCCTGGTAATGTTGCCCGATAGAACCATCGCTTGAGGATGGGGTTGAACTCATTTGGATTCGTTTAACGCGGGGAGGGAAAGGGTGCGGTTTGGCTTAGGATTGGAAGAAATTTGCTGATTTTAGGACGGGTAAGTGCATATAGGGTAGTTATTTGGTTGAGAGGGTGCTGAATGAGATGGGAAGTAGCTTGGGTAAGAAATTTTAGTCAAAATTCCAATTTTCGGTGCAAAATAAGCACGTAAAGCATGTTTATCCTCAAAATTTTGGAAAAGGGAGGAGGCGAAAGGATGTCAAATTTTTTCCACCTAACATTTATGTAGAAGGTATTTTCATTCACTTAAAACGTGCTCAGATGGCGCGGTGGTAGTGTTGCCAGGTATTATCGTGGCAGTTTGGGGTTCAATCCCCCTGTAGTCTGTTTTGTTTTTTCAACGTTCCGGCAAGCTTACTTCCGGGATAACTATAAGATATACGCTGTGGGATTTGTCGGTGGGATGTACTTACTGTAAATTACTGTGGATAATACCGTGAATTTTTACTTTCCGGCTGAATTGGTATTTCTTCGTGTCTCTTCACATATCAAATATACATTGGTCTCTCCCTCTCTCACCGTTCATTCATCTATGGTTCTCCTCGTTCTACACCTCCCATATAGCTTTCAGTTAGGCGTACGCGTACGAACTGCTTGTTAGCTTTCTTTTCCGATATTAAATGGGCGTTATGCATAAGAACCGACCGTATTATGCATAATTTTGAGTTGTTTTCAGTGTTCGAAACGAACCAATTGCACAGGTTTTGTTCGTCTTTAAGAAAAGTATTTGTCATTTATGAGTGCTCATAACTAAACTTTCACATGGAAATAAATTTATCCGCTTAGTGGAGTTCCATCGCTCTCACCTGTGTCATTCCACTATCGTGAACGTTATTTTAACTAATCTATCATCGCTCGACGATTGTTTCTGATGTTGTTTCAATGCCAAAAACGTTTTTGAATTGAAGTGCTTGTTTTGCACAATGAATTAGTGATTACAGTAAATCGAGAGTAATTACAATCTGGCATCTGGATTCTAAATGGTCGTTGAAAGTGATGAGAACTCGTTGAGTGAATCGTCCAAAGTGGGTATGAAAACTGGCGATGGTCTTACTGAAATTAATACGAACACCACTGAAACACCATCCAAGTTAGACTTGTCTTTTTTTTACTTCAAGAATATTTTTCCTTAAAATCATTCTGTACTTGAAACTTTGATGCGTGACAAGGTAACATTGTTTCATATTGCTCATATAGTGAGCTATTGGTGATACTCAGGGTAGTAAAGAAAATAATTACTATTGGTGGAATCAGTAGTAGTAATCGGGAAAATAACTCTTTGCTAAGCATATATTGAACGTATCGATGAAAGGTGGCCAGGCTATACCTTAAGTTAAACCTTACGTTAAGATTAATTCCTGCTTCTCCTTGAAATTCTCAATTAGGATTTAGTCAGAGACCTGCCCTTGAACACTGAGGCTACTATAAAATTCAGAGTTCACGCTGCTTTCATAATACAACAACTATAAAATTACTGATATTTTATCGTATTTGAGAACTGCGGTAAAAAGCAACGATAGTGAACAACCGGAAATCAAAAAAGGTAAATTGGATTTATCACGACGAGGATACGGTAAACTTTCACTCCGCTACAAAGATGTTTACAATGAAGTGAAGTACTTGGATATATCACACAATAATTTCAAGTTCATCAATGGTCTGAATCTATTCGCGAATTGTGTTGAGGTAAAGTTGATTTTTTTAGCATTTCTATCCATAGATGTTCTCAAAATTGATAAGGAACCAAAAAATATTGATATCATTCGAATACTGATAAAGCAAAATAAAAATGATTCTGATTGCCTTTTTCGTTTTAGACGAAAAAGGCAATTGCCCTTTTTCCACTAAAAAAGGACTAACTGTAAGTGATTTTCGTAGTTATGCATTGTTGATTTGTTTCAGATTCGTGCGAATCACAATTGCTTGGAACGTTTATCAAGTTTTCAGTCGTTGAAGAATGTACTTCAGGTGCTCGATGCTAGTAATAATATGATCATAAACTGTGAGAACTTGGCAACTCTATGGGCGCTCATCACTCTGAACGCATCGCATAATCGCATTTCGGTTTGTTTTGAATTGTGAAAACATTCTGTCAGATTTTTCATTCATTTCAATCCGATTCTTCAGCAAATCTTACTGCTGCCCTTCGTCAAAACAAATTTTATTCTGGTTTCGCTTTGTGATCACCATTTGAACATTTGGCCGTCTTTTATCCATAACGGAACTATTCAAAAATGTTGAGCATTTATTAGCTCATGTTTATCATGTTATCAAGTAAAATAGCTAACTTAGACTGGTTATTCGAACTTGTTCCGTGTCATGTTTCGGTTTCGTTTCTATTGTTCCAACAGTTTCGATTGAGGAAAATCATCCTGGCAAAGTGTTTTCGAATGAATCAGCCGGGTGATATAATGAAGATGTTTGTTAACTATTCTATTTTCAGCAGTTACCTCTGCTCGATCGCTTAAGTCATCTGAAACATCTGGATTTATCATCGAATCGTTTCGAAGCACTACCGAGATTATGTCGATTGAACTCGCTTGAGGTGTTGAATCTGAACAACAATCGAATTGCGTCGTTGGACGACTGTTCACGACTTCTACCAGCCGATATCAAGTCACTTGATATTGGCAATAATGCAATTGCTGATCTCAGACAGGTAACAATTCTTTTTTCTCGTATTATTTGTGCTAAACAAAAATTCCTGTCATCTTATATTTCATTGCAATGTTTGCATTTTGAGAGAATTCTGCCGTTCCATTGGTGACTTCTGGGGCGATGATGAATTGTTTCAATGCCATCACTTACGAATACATTTCTGCGAAATTATCCGCATCACGTTTTGCTAGCATCCAAATGCACGACCCCTAATATTTTGATTCCGAAGTCGTCACTCGATCCTCCATTTCAAAACTTGATGTTCTCAGTTTCAACACTGAAACGTCAATAATCGGCTGCGCTAAACGGTGTCTGGAGTATAAAATCGTCGTATGAAAATGTTCCCGTATGTCTGAAATAATGCTTATTGATTGCACGAATGACTGTTTTAAGGCAAAGAATCTGTCGTGTTTACGATCGCTTGACTCATTGATGTGGTCGGGTAATCCTTGCGTTTCATTCGATTCGCGAACGTTCACCTATCGACCGTATTTGTATAGTTGTTGTATTGGCTCATCGCTGAATGTGGTCGATGGTTTTGCACTGAAAGAACCCGAAATTATCAAAGGTCTTAGCATGTTCTCTTTCTTCTTTAACAGCTTCAACTCAGTTGTTTGTTAACAACCTTCATATTGTGCACAGTCAACTATCATGTGAAGCCTATTCAACAAGAAATATCCACTTCATTTCTGATATAATATTTATTCCTCATTTTTAGCTCCATGAATACTTTGAGAATATTTCATACAAATACTCCATTCCACTTTTTTACATGTACATTGTGGAAACAGTTTGATTATATTGACTTGTCAAATTTCAAAACATATTTAGAATATTGCTAAATGCGATTGAAATACTGTTCGATTGAAAGAAAAGATGCAATTTGAGCACGAAANGAAAAGTATAGATTTTGGCCAAGCAAAATTAAACGATCCTATTTCTAGGTGAATTGCTATGTACGATGAACCAAACGAAACGAGCGCAAACCAATGCTGAGTTGTGTGCGTTACTGGCGAAAGAATGTCCGATTGAAGTGGATCTGAACGATATATCTTCGTTATCATCATTCGACGATCGATTACTGAGGGTAAGCTCCATCAAAAATCCGTGCACAGCAATCTCTCATTGTCAGAGTCTTCTGATAGCTCATGATTTTTAACTGAATTAAAACTTGAAATATTATTTCTTAGACTAACTGAGCCTGTGCTCGTCTTTTTTCCGCACTCTCAATTGAACTTCCGCTACTTTCTCAGTTCATATGATCGGTCCAACATCTTATAAATTCTTGATGGCTATTCGATTCAACAATCATCTATTAGCTTTTTTTATCTGAAGGTGCTCGAGAAGCGGCGTGAATATATGTCAGCAACAACTGACGGTGATGATGAATTTTCTCGAAGTTCCATCTTGGATCGCTGTGCATCGAAGTTGAACCAGTCTCAATCTCGAGTGCAATCTCAACCGCGACCACCTCAAGCCAGATCAAGATCATCGTCGTACACCCGCATTGAAAATGAATCCAACACTTCGGTGGAAGTTAACCATCCAAGCGATAAGAACAATAACAGAAATGTGCTCCATTTGGATTCGTCTTCGATTAGCGATCAGTTAATCTCCACAGAAAACTCACAGTTGTTACATACTCCGAAATCGAGGTGAGTATTTCATTTCATTCTTTTTCCCGTGTTCCCGGTGACTGAAAAGGAGCTGTCTGAAATTTTTGAAGAAATCTTATGTAAATTTATGATATTTGGAATGTTTACGTATTGCGATAGTTAGATTTGTTTCTTTTGCATTGTACGTGGAAATCGAAAACTTTGTTTTTTTTGAGTGTGATAGAATGTCATTCAGATCCGAAAGTCCACCAGTATCCGCATCTTCGATGACTTCATCGTCGACGTTCGTCTTATTTCATCAAGAATCCTGCTCAGAATCCATTTCAGTTGCACAGTACGTTTACTGTTATTTTCATTGAAAGCACCTTATCGTTTCCATTCAAACTCATCCAGCGATATCATTGACGACTTTTTTTTTCGAGTATTTTCAGTGAGTGATTATCGTATCGTCATGGTAATGAATAGTGTTTTACCATCGATTTTATGCGAGCAATTATTTGATCCAGATATGATAATGCAAAGCAAATAATTTTTAGGATTATATCACAAACGGCCAATGCAGTTCCGAAAACGCGATCACCGCGCGGCATTCCGATGGCGAGGTACTCAACAGTTAAATCGGTAACGCAACCGACACGAGGTCGACTCTGTTCACGGTATTCGTCAAATTTTGCTGCTCCAACAACGTCTCACCACAATTGTTTGTGAGTTTGTTTTGAATGAAAGTTTGCGGTTTTTTCAGTCATTTATTTTATTCATTTTATTTTCTTCACTTAAATCGACATTGTTTTGGCCAGCTCACTTTTGTTTTCAGCATTTCTTCACGGAATCCAAAGTATTCAATGCACCGTTACACGTCTAACGATTCAGAAAATTCGGCAACATTAAGGCCAAAAGGAAAGGTGAGAAATATCGGCGAATAGTTATGCTTTTGTGTTCTCTTCAATCATTCAGCAGGTTGTTTCATTGATCGCGCAATTTCACTTTTTTTTCAGCTCACCACATCGCAAAGGAAATCAGTCACCGGGATTAAGCCAAAAGCTGGCAAAACAACACCTCGTAATAGTGTATCGTCGAGAGTGCGGTTGAGCACATATACGACAACTCCGAAATCCACTTCAGCCACTCGAACTCGTACAACTGTCAAACCAAGCGTTGTGGTCCACTCGAAAAATACTTATTCTAAAGCTCAACTTCATGCTGTCGTCATTATACAAGTGAGTCTGCAAATAATCCAGTCAGTCGTCACTTTTACCACTTATTGTTTTAGTTATTTTTATTGAAAAGTTTCAAAATTCTACAGTTATTCCAGTGAACATGTTTCAAACATTATGAAGATGATTTCAAAAAATCGTTTCACCAAAATTGTTTTGTGGATATTCATTTGTGAGTTTTTCATCCCGATATTGCCTTAATGAAGTAGACATACGCGTCGACAAACAGACATATGATCGAGCGTTTTGTTGGTCCAGATCAAAAAATGATAAGTTGAAGGCATGGTGGCGAGCCGTAAGAACGCGTCGAGCATGGCGAGTACGGTTGATGGAGATGAGATTGAGACGATACGCGAAAGAGAAACAACAAATCAGTGGACGTTTGGCGGCGATTAGCGCCGAGTGTGAACAGTTGTCGCGAATTGTCGAGCAACAATCGCAGTGGATGCAAGATATCAACAACTTTGTTCTGGTACGCTGATTCGATTTTGAAGGAGAAACACTTTTACTTTGCATACTTTAAATTTGCAGTCTTTGGATGTAATTTGTAATTTGCAGTTGTCTCAAGAGAAAATGGAATCGCGTTTGGCCGAGCATGAGGAATGTCTGCGCAGATGTTTACCGGTACCAGCACAGGTGGAATTCATCCGAAACTCACCAACTGAAATCACTTTACAGTGGCAAGACATCATAATGCCAGACAAGAGTTCGTGCTTTCTAATTTTTGGTGCACCATCATGAAAATACAGAAGCCGTTTTCGATTGATGTTTGGAACTCAGGCGGTGTGTTTTCGATGGATTCAATACTTGAGTTTAAGCCTGGTTCTAAATCTGGATTTGGCTTTCAGTATTGGAGTTTCTATGAAATAGAAAATCCGTGGAATCATATTTTTTAGTTGTTTGATTTAACATTCTGATTATCGTCGCATTCGGAAGCAGAATGTTGACTTTCAAAAGAATCCCCACAAAAATAGATTATTGATTCGAATGTGAAGTGTGAATTGAATTCAAGGGTACGTACTGTACGTGGACGGACAAGATTGTGGCACAATTCGTGCACAAATGAAAAAGGCCAAAATTCAGGATTTGAATCCCGCAAAAGAATCTGTGTAAGTGAATTTTTGCTATTGTAAATCGACATTAATTTCCTTGTTGTCAGCTTTTGTGACTTATTAAAGTATGAGCAAACGTTTTTTGAACAACAATAACACGCTGTTTGTACTGTTTAGTTTTCCCATTTTACTGATGAGGACATTTCGATTAAATGAGAGCAAGCTTATAGATTTATTGGACAAGTCATTGATTGAGTCAACAAACTTGAAGATGAGAACTTGTATGGGTGATGCGAATGAAGAATTTGAATGCTTCTATTTCAGTGTTGAAATTCAATGTGTACACGGAAATAACAAGGGTAGCAAATCGATGCCGCTCATCATACCACCAATGTGCGAACAAATATGCACTCAGACTGATCGTGACGTTGTTGACGAATCAGGGGATCGTGAGGGAGGTCTGCCGGAGCAAGCAGGATTCAGCAACAGTGTTGGAGATTCAGCATCATTTCATGAATCCGCCGTCAAAGACAAACAGTCTCAGGAAAAACAGCAAGAAGAAGAAACAGACCATGAAAGAACACCATCTGAAGAAGGATAAAGCATTAATACGCCCAAAAGTACACATTTTCGAGTCTTTTCGTAGCCACACATATCTGGAGGATATGACTGTACTCAGTCGCTTAAATCACTCAATTGCAATAGCTCACACAACAAACGATTAATAATTGCATTTAGTAGCTAAAGCAATAAGTATGATTTGATTTGATCTGATATCATTTTGCTCACATTGATTATCGTTCATGCCAACAATTTTCGTTTATATTATATTGTATCAAGTCATTGTAGCAATATATTCGTTTTTGAGGCAGTGCTTTTGTCGTTTCGTTCGAACACTCATGCATTTAACTTGTTTTATTTGATCTCACGGTTTTTCTTTGTTTCGTTCTCAAATTTCAAATTTTGTTGCAGTCGTTTCTTCCATTTGATTCAAACACCTCTTTTTCACTTTTTCAGTTTATTTTGCTTTGTATTTCCTCCATTTCACGCAACGTGCAGGCACTAATGAAATTAATCGTTAAAAGTGTAATCGTTCGACTCTGTTGCTTTTTAGAAATCCCAATTTTTATTAGTGTTATTCCGTTATTCATTGTTCATTCGAGGAAATTGTTTCTCAAAATAAGTATTTCAAAAGGTTTCATGATCTATGAAAATATGCCTATTTGTTCATAAGTGGAATTAGTTTGATTATTTTGAGGACTGAAGTAATTATTGACATATTGGTGAATTTGGCTTGAATGAAACGGGTCGATTTCACTCTTAGTTTCACCCAACTGTTATCTAGGCTCCAATTCTCAAGATTAAAATGAATGAGTTAATCAGTTTTGATGCCTTATGAGATATTTGATTTGAAAATAACTGGAAATCTTTGATTTACCTAGTTCTAAATGATGCAATCAGGTGTTGCTGGTTATTGTTTTTTAAAAAAACGAGATAATTTCATAACTTCGAGTAGAGATCAACTCGCTCAATCATATAAGTTGTAGATTTCAACGTTTAGAAGTGAACAGATTGGTATTTGTAAAGTAATCGTTTGATTTGATTGTACTATGAGTCATTTCTCAACTCAACGCATTATTGGACACAATGCGAGTGCTGCTGGAGTTTTTTTTTGCTTGTTCGCGTTTTAACTTGAAAAAAATTTCTGTGATTTCAACTTTTTTTAAAGGACCAAAAAGTCAATAAACAATCTCTTATCGTGTTGTGTACATTATTGCATTCTGAAGTACATTTAACAAAAACGGGCACATTTAAGATATTTATTGCGTTCCGCTTAAACAAAAAGCTGTGAAAATGCACTAGTCTTTGAGGATTCACAGTTTTGAAACGTTTTCCTCACATTTTCTTCGTCCCCAATTGACCACCACTACACAGTTCGTTGGCTCCAACACAGAGAGAGACTAAAGCAACAATGGGAAGAATACGTTTAGCGAAATGTGATTCTATCGGAAAGCAACGTATCTGTTGTGGCTGAGAACTGATTCGCCGATCAGACCATGGATTATGGGGCAAAAATTAGGAGACCTGATGGAAATCATGAAACAGACCCGAACAGTATTAAACATTTATAGCTGTATAGAACCTATTAAATTTTTTATGTATATATGTGTGATCAACAGAAATGATCAAACATGCCTAATAACATATTGATCAACAAACACGATCTCCCGAAATAAAATCTATTGTAGAGGTTCTCGGGCCTTTATCAGCAATACAACCGTTTGTTCATGTGCTTCACCAATATTTCTGTTCATCCATTCCGAAAGCTTGCTTTATTGTTAGGAATACACTTGTTAAGTACTCCTAGAGTTTACCATTCCAGCCAGCCCTCGTCAATCTCGTTCAACCCTCGACAACTTAAAACCCCTTGCAACGGGCAATTGCATCGCACTTGAGAATCTCTAATCTATCACAATCACTGAATAACGATCAAGTATAATAAATCAAGCAAATGTATAATACAATGTAACGAATTTCACGAAAGTGCCACAAAACAATCAAGTAAACACAAAGAATCAAGAAAAAACGGCAGGCATCACAATGTTTCGATGTCTTCTGCATTCAACATTTCATTTTCAAGTTTACGAACAGTAGCTAAGAAATGACGATATCTCGGATTGTTTAGCAAAAGCCGAGAGCGACCTTCATTGGTGAGTTTCAGTGTGCGGGGAAACAACTCGTCGACGTTAATATCCATTGGTTTATTGCCATTGCTGCTGGTGTTATGATTATCACCTTCAGATGCGGTTTCATCACCTGCATGCAGTTGCATTCATCTTCTATACTAATAAACATCTCTTGATTGCCGTCTCATATGGACCATTTCAAATTTGAGCATATCTCAAACCAAATTCCGAACGCACCGATATGGATTCAAATATCTTATTACAATCAAATGCAACAGACTACTTGTTCAATAGTGATAGTCGCATGGATAAACAGTTACAGTAAATGAAATGCCTAATAATGATTAAATGATCAACGATAAGGTTGACGAGCAACTGATAGCAAAAGCCCGTCATAAGCGAACAGTTAAAAATGGATAAACGAATAGAAGCTGACCATTTGTTTGATTTGTTTCTTCGGCTGTGACCTGCGTATTCGGTTGACGTGCACATGAACTAATAGGCGCAGAGGATTCGTTTGCAGCTGATTCGATTCGTTTCACTCGATCATTATTAAGATCAGCATCATTGTCGATGCCATCCTCATCGTACTCTATTGAATCTACAACAATATTCTCGATTTCAGACGTTTCTTTACGTGATTTTTGTGCGCCATCAGATTGTGATCCCAACTTGGAGTGTGCATCATTGGGATATAAGTGAGATGTGGAGATTAGTGAAGCGTGATTGCCGATGGTGCTGGCGTTGAGGTGCTGAGACTGTTCCTGATCCAGGCTCAGATGGTGGTGGTGAGCGTGAGGATGCAGGAACGCGGCTTGATTGGACGGATGTGGATGAGTGAGTGTTGATGGTTGTGCTATCCAAGGCGCAATGATGCCTTGCGTTGGTATATTGTAGAAACGATCTGCAGGCGCACAACAGTAGGACGCAGGCGATGCATACGGTAGTTGCAGTGAATTGAACGCGTTCGGTGGGAACGGTGTTGAATAGAACGATGGCTGCGTTGCAAACAGATTATTGCTCAGATGAGGATCAGTGGTAAGTTTATTGCTTTTGCATAGATCGGTTTTGTTGTCATCTGCAAGCGTCGAAGATCGCGTTGAAGTGTTGACAGTGTGACGACTGAAGAGCTGTTGCGTGCTTGAGGTAGCGTTCAGAAGCGTTGAATTGCGAATCAACTTGGCCAGCAGATCGGCGTCGGGTAGTGTGCCTGTTGATGTATTGTTTGTGCTAGCAGTGATTGGTGAAGTCGGGGTATGACTTGAGCTTATCATTGACTTGGCTTGTTGATGGAAGAACGGCACCGACGAAAAGGCTGCTACACCGTTCGGCCACCGCAAATGCTCATCGGCAACACTCGGTAAAAATATACCCTGGGACAGTAAACCAACTTGGTTGTCCGGAGTGGTGACGGGTAGCTGGGCTGATCCAAGCAAGAGTGAAACGAATGGATTGCTTGTGCTGGAAAATGATGACGCATCCAGAAATGCACTATGCTGCAGTGGTGAGCTCATCTCACATGTACTGCTGTTAGCATTGTTGTTATCGGAATTCGTATCACTATTAGCATTGTCACTGTTATTGCTATTACTATTACGATAATTGTTACTAATTGTATCATTATTACTGCTCGTTGTACTTGTCAATTCAATCGGTGCCATTTCAGCAGATGGCGATTTCGATTCAACACGCTTATTGTGATGCTCAATGCCCTGAAATTGCATTCCTTCACAGTGCTAATTTTATTTTTAATTAAATATTCATTTGTTGGCTTCATTTCAGTTTTTTGATGTAACTGTACACCTGTCGTTTCGTGCCATATTTAAGTTTTGGTTTGTTCGACCCTTCAAACGTTCCATATTTCTTAGAAGTGTCAGTGGAAACGTCAAGCAAAGTTGATATGAAGACGGAGGCTGACATTCACGAACGAAATGTTAATGCGAACAGAAGTAATAATCTGGTTATAAACAAGCAACAAAGGAACGTACGCACCTCTCTACTATGTCGTTTGATTCGCACTGCTCCCGAACAGTTGCTTGAAGGTGTGTTACTGAGTGTTTTGATTGGTGGTGATGAGGTGCACTCTGTGGCTGTGGCTTGTGATTGGTCTATAATGTTTGTGGTACCCTGGTGTAAGTTTGGACTCATTTGCATACGATGACATACGTCCATGCGTTCACAACTGGGTTCAACAGGAATCGACACACATTCCTTGTCTGCAAATCGTTAAAATTAGTGAAATATTTTTAAAAACAGCTCGAGTAGCAATTTTTGCAGAGTACTTTCAAACTTCGCTGGAAATCGGAATTGAAATTCCTCGCTCACTGACGCAAACAATGCACTTTACTTATCATCTGCAGCGAATTTAGTTCCCTTCACTGTAATAATCTTTGAAAGCAATATGTGATTTCATCAAAACTCAGCCATGCATAATACATAATTGTTGAAGCACAAGTTTCGTTGGGTTGTTTGTTGCGTGAAATTCAAACAGAGCAAGATAATGAAAATTGAAGTACGAATAACATCCGCACAAATGCTTCAATTCAGTAATCAGCAAAATTCATTAATCTCATCAAATTCGCATTGAAGTAGAGCAATCATGTGAAATTTGAAAGTAATCCTTGCTATTTGAAGTAATGAACCATATATGTGTATGTATCTCCATGAAACGATTACTCTCTACAGCACTTAAATACATTTCCACATGCTAATTAAACCCACAATCTTGTATTGGAAAACTACATCAACTTTTGCATATTTTCATCACAATCTACTTATCAACAAAAGAAGCGCTTTGAAATTAATAAAACGAAGTTTGATTTGTAGCCATTTTACGAGCAAAGTAATCCGCATAACAAAAGGACGTGAAAATCTTTCGAATTGAGAATTCACTGCTAAAGGATGAACATTTTCGTGATTATAATTCCGCATTCATTTCTTGTTGATATCAGACTTGTAGGGTTATGAGCTTAGCATCAGTGGATTTTCTGAATTTTAAAGTTCTCATTTTATGATATTTTATGATTTCTGGTTTGTGAATGATAATTTGTGCTTCCAATCATCCTAAAGTTATTCACAACTGAACTATTCACTGCTATCTCGGTCATTAGAAAACTGATATTCTACCGAAAGATTGTGAACTAGGCTCAATGAAAAGACTGTCGGCAGAATGATATTGCTCACGGATTCAGTGATCTGATCGTGAGAGTAATGTGGTTAATATTTGAATGAACGAACCGTCAATATATTTTGGGAATACTCGAAGTCTTGTGTTACCGTTTCGGAAATGAACGGGTTTCAACACCAGACCGCATTCAGAGGTTCGCGATCGATACCGCCGAATAATCGCATTTGCACGCATTGACATTACATTGGCACACTGAAATCGACACGTTTGAATCTATCTATTCATTGCAATCACAGAATGTGATGCATATCATTATCCGTTCACAAGCTCCTCTACACACTTGCTCATCCTCATTTCCATGCTTCCAGCTCTTCACAGTGTCATACTCCAAAATCTTGTTTTTTTTCCCCACTGAAAACGACCTCTGTGTAGCTTTATTGCGAAAAATAGGTTAAAAGATCGTGCCACTGTTCACTGAGACAAAGGATAGCTTGATCCAACGTTTGATCTTTGACATTGCGAAAAAAAGTTTGACCTTTCAGTCACATTCTTTAACGTAAAATTTCACACAAATTTTTCCTAGATCTGAGGATATCTCTTCGATGATTGAGATCATGGAGGATGCTCAAAATCGTAAAATATAGCCCCTCAACGAAAAACAAGCTGACCCATCAACCTTTCGCATTAATTTTTTTGCAGCAAAATTTCCTACAGGTTGCTCGTAGACCAAGAAACTTATATTTCGAAACAAAACAAAATGCCGTAAATTGAAAAATTTTTCAAACTACTAAATGTCAAGGCTTCAGAAACTGACATTCTATCGAAAATAATACCATTTGCTCATACATTCGATTTGGTTAATTATCATAATGATACTAGCACAAAGGTGATACACATCGACAGTGATATTCACTCTGTCATCGTACTAATAACAAATACAACAATACAACTCAAATATAATATTTGACGGATATGTGAAATACAAATTGAATATTTTGTTCGTTGTACTCTATGAATGGATGATTTTAAAGAATGAATGGAACGATAAGGTGAATAAAAGCCGTAACTGAAAGCAACTTACTGTTTTACAACTGCAATTGTTGTAGGGGCATTTGCTGGCGTGACCTTTTAAAACCACTTGCTTTCCGTGACCTTCACATTTCCGACAAAACAGCGTTCGAACAGGCATCTTCTCTGGAAGTTTCTATAGAAGCACTTCCACACATAAATTGTTTGTCACTTGAAAGAAATACTGATCGAGTCCACTTTCAACTTCTTGTCTTTTTGTGGAGACAAAATTTTGTTTTACTGCCATGGTGAATTATTGTGAAAGTTTTAATCGAAAACATTGATTGATCCCTAACCAGTTGGACAATCCATTGCCCTATTAATCATTATACGATTATTAATGGCCGAAACCAAGAACGCCTTGTTTTAGAGGACAGTTGAAGGCTTTGCGAAGTGAGAAGGTCTTATGCTGCTTTATTAATCCTATCTGTGACAACGTTGATTTTGCTGGGTGGGTTCCTTGCAAGAAGACTTAATGAACCAGACTGTCTATTTCAGTGGTTCTCACGTTCGGGTGCTCCATTACCCCTTTTGATGATCTGACAGGCCGCCGTTACCCTCCTCTCCTCCCCAACAACCCTAAAGCACCCAAAACGGGTCATTTCACTTCCAGTGAGAATCACTGTCCTAGGCCATTGTGTTGCTCACTATAGTAATTGATTATGATTGCATGAAAGCTATCTATGACACGCTCACTTCAAACTGATTCAGATGGATTCTCATTCTTTTCAGACGTGTTGTATTCACTCTCATAACTATCGCTTGCGAATACCGTTCTCTTCATGACTTTTTATCATTCACTTCGTCTCATTTCACTTCACAGTTCGAAGCATTTTCTTATTCTGTAGCATATACTATTTACTGAATATGTTGACGAGTGTTGACAGCCGAAATCACCAATACAACAATCGAATACTATTGTTCAACAACATTCAACAGTCAAATGATCAGTTATAGAGTGTATTTAATAGAATGAGAATTTGAATTAAACTGTCGAGCGAAATGAATGAGAAATTAGCAGAAGAGAACCATTTTGGTGATAAAAGGTATGAGAGCGATTATAACAGTAAGGAAAAGAATGAAAATTCATGCTAAAACAAATAAAAACTGTGTTAGGCCCGGCCGAGCTAATGATATTCAGAGAATCGGAGAATGAAGAGTTTACCCAAGTTAAAAAATACCTTCACAATGGCGTTCAATCAAAACATAACAACTGCATGAAATGCAAATTGCCGGACCCCCTCCATTATTCCTTGACACCTCCAAATTACCCAAAATGCGTGATTTCACCCCCTATGAGAATCCGATAAATGCAAATGCTTACCACCGAAATTTGGCTGCGCTTTTACAACATCCTCACCGACGGCCTTTTCTACAATTTTTTGCGTTGAAACATTCTTGGGATCGGCTGGTGCAAGCACCAATGGACTATCGCAAACCTGAATAGTCTCATACCGATTCAACGATCCATCAACAACAGTGCAACATGACAAATCAGGATGATAACACTGAAGTATTACTTTGGCAAATTCTAAGTGTTACGGGTCAACTGCTTGATTGTTTCACTCTGAAATTTCCTAACCACTGTTCGACAGTTTTATCGAAATACTTTTGGACTAGAGAGAAGCGATTCCTTCGATATCACCAACGAATTCTCAAAGTTAAGCCAATTGATCATTGAATCAATTTTTTGACTGATTTCTAAAACATCGTTTATTACTTAAGGACTGCTGAAGATGGAGAGCGATAACTGAAACTCATGAAATGCTCATCTGTGCAAAATGCTGTCTGATAGACATACGTCAAATTGAATACTTGAAAACCGTCATGAAGATTGCTTTAAAGATCTTACCACAAAAAATCATTTCAAAATTATGTGCTTTGAAATGGAATCACCTCGTCTACAGCCAGGTCGACGTCTGAAGTGAGCAGCTGCGCTTGAACAACGATCGGTGGCTCAGTTAAGGAGAGCGTGATCGGCGAAATTGTTTCACTGAAGTATTTATCGGCAAATAAGGGCACATTCACGGCTATTTTCAAACTCATTCACACTTTGGCCACAAAAAGGCATTCAGATGCATGCTAGGCGCCAGAGAGAGTTATTAGATACTATTAGACACTGTCATGCGTACCACGATCGGATCAGGGGCAAAGCGGGAATAACTGCTCCGAGATAAATCTGTTATTATCATGGCTATTAATCTTGCAAAATGTTATTATGGTTGCTGTTATGGTTAATGCTAACAATAGTGAAATATGTTTGGTACTTATAATTGTTTTCATTGTTATCACCATAAATATGATTGTTTTTGCTGATGTTATCATTGTTACTCGTATTGCTATTAAAAGCATCACTGCGCTCGCAATTCGACTGAAAGATAATATTTATCCGTCCTTTGTCTGATGGCACGATCAGAATTGTATAACTGCCTATTCACGTGTCTACTAATCAAGACTACACATTTTTGGAGCGTAAATTTTGTCGGCAAAATTCTTCTAAAAAATAGATTAGATTTTTCGAAAGTTATCAAACATTGCACTTGAAAGTACTGATAAGGTGGGTATTTGCAGAGACGCGCATTACTGCTCTATCGCTATCGGTGACGAGCGACAGTCAGCGAATTCACGCAATGGCTATTCCGCTAATTCGCTAAGTTCAGCTAGTAGCCATGCATGCCCATCACTGAGCGTTTGAATACAAATAATTCGTCTGCGTATCAGACTCTTAAAAGGACTCTTAAAACACTTAATTTCGTACGTCTGCTCGGTAAATGCTCAAAACTGATAAATACCGTCGCAAATCTGATAACTACTATTTCGCAACTGTGAAGAGTCGAACTGAACTGAACGTTCGGCTAGCATTTCGAACATGAAAATGGAAATGTTCTTCGTGAATAATGAAGAAAGATCATTCCACCGTACGCCGTAACAACGTCATGACCAGTTCAGCACGATTCTCAGACATTCCAATGATGCAATCTCAACTTTCTGATGTTGAAAACAATTACCAAGTTAGTCAGTTATCATGCTCACAGTTAACTATGATATGATAATTTCTTTACAAAACAAATAAGCTTCATTCAGTAAGCAGCATTCTGAACACAATTCAACGGTTTTGTTGGATAACTGTACGAAGTGGTCATGAAAATACGCAAACATCCATTGAACAGGATTAGTTCGTTAGTGAACACATGGAGCTGTTAATGCAAAAACGAAGGTCACTCTTAAGAAGTATTCACTGGAACTGTTTCCGGGATGGATCTATAGATAGAGACTTCTGGGATGCATGATTAAAGGCATATTCAGGAACAAATCACACTCTTAGATCAATTTGCGTAGTCATGCTTTATTTACCTTCCTGCTTTTTGTGTTCCAACACTATAACGGTGACACTCAATCTAGTCTTTTTGCAACGACGGTTTTGCAATGTCTGCAAAATATTCAGCGAAAAATTATTTGACCTCTAGAATTGTGCATAGTCAGAACAGGTAAATATCGAAGTAAAACACAGAATTGGTTAGATACAGATCAAATCCTAGCCTGGCTTGGGCACACAACAGTGATATTGGTACACCAGTCGGTTCCGAGCAAAACTTTGTTTCGGAAACATTGCTGTTCGCGGAGGAAAGTTTTGCTGGAAATTGAGTGGTGCACTTGAGGTGTTCATTTTAGGGTGAAGATGCGTAATGCAAGAAGAGCATGAGAAACCTTGCGAATGTTCAGTTCTAATTGTTGAATGGAAACGAGATACTGACTGCGAATAAGGATACCATAACTAGATGCTGTGATTAGACTAATTCAAGCAGTGAGGAATGAATTCGTGAAAATAACATCGCATATAAACTAAGAAAATTGATCATCACAGATTTTAATCTATCTTACTGATGCAGCGCATGAAGCCGTTAGTGATCACTGGAAGTATGATCGGAGAGCAAGAACTAGATTGTTTGGTCACGAGGTTTGAATGATTTTTAGCGATTTTACGTGGGGACTTTTAAGCAAAAATTTTCAGAGTGAATTATAATCTCTACATGAAAGCAAGCCTCTCACAACGTCAGATAAACAGAACAACGGAATATATGAAAACATGACACCTGAACAGATGAAAATCTTTTGGGAGTGATGTATTCAATTGAAGTGTTGGTTGTGACGGGAAAGAACTTCTAAGGATGAGTCAGTTTTTGTAACAATGCTCAATGCACGCACGCATTATCTCAAAACTTTCATCTGGTGATAATTGATGAAAGTATTTGAGGATGAAATTACAACCGGGTCCTTTCAATGGTCTTCTACAGAAGGTTTCAGAGCTTTCCGTTTTCTATTCAGTTTCACGCAAAAAAACATTAAAATTGAGTTGTCTAAAATCGGAGATGATCACAATAGGGATCAGATGGTGATAATTGATACTGGGTCAAGGTGAAAGATAAACAATGATCCGAGAGTGTAAGTAACGAGTTGTAATCGCCGAAATATCTTCAACTGAACCGATATCCATCCATATCGCATATGTTCTTATCAGTCTGTGCTATATGCTAACGTACACAAATAGCAAATTGCATCATGTTCACAGTGAATTTTATACGTTCAAAAGCCACGCCTTGTGCCGGTCTTTTGATTGGCTAAACGTTGTTGATAATCATAACGGTGGATTCGGCAATGCTTATTTATCTGTGCCTCGACGAACTGACTGTAAGATAAACAATTGAAACAGAGACTGTTATTGCTGAAGATTAATGGAATTTGGGCATTGAAGAATTTATTAGTTGACTGTGATCAGAATTGGCTTATAATTTTATTTATTAAAATCAACTCGGTGTTTTTTGGAGTTGTGCTCTTTTGTTAAATTCCATTTTTTGAACGTACAAAACGATTTCACCGACGAAGATATGCATATGAAATAAGACTCTGTATGTATGGCATACTGTAGTGTATGAGTTCAGCAGTATGCCAGTGCTCCATGATTTATGGGTTGCTCGAGGTCGGGTTCACTGATTTATGACTTCATTTACCAGTAAGCGAAGTGGATGTTTTCCGTGAAAAAAAGACACTCCAGAGATGGTTTTTTAAATGCAAAATGGGTGGCTCCGCTAAAGTCTTAATTATTAGTGCTTGTGGTTATGAAGTCTAGAATTGTGGAATGAAGGTAGAAATGCGGTTGTTGTTCTCTCCAAAGAATGAACAATTAATGTTCATTACGGTCTGTATGAATGCATACAGCTATGATCTTAAAACCAATAACAGATCGGGAATCGAATTCAAACGGAGGATTAGTCACAGAATTTCATTTATGGATGGCTGAATTGTAAATAGAAACGAATGCACGAAAAGAGAGCAAAATGTGAAATTACTTCCTTGTGAATATAAATTGAAAAGAACAAAAAACATGAAGTTGGCTGGCTGTTACAAGAGAGAATGATGAGTGAGCAAAAAGGTAATGGGGCTAAGACTACAACTGTGAAGTTGACCTCGAATTCGTTGTGGAAAGAGTCAAGCTCAGTGCAATTTCAAGAGCTTCTGCGATCGTCGATGGTGAATGAATGAACTGCTGCTAGAATGCGCTATTCAAGCAACTTTATACGGGACCTTGTCCGAATTAATCCTGATATGTTCATAAATATTGATATCATAATACGATACTGATTAGATCGAAAAAATAATGGTGATCTATATGGAATATTAGCAATAAGCGTATTATAAAATGGATATACGACCGCATCAACAGCGAAATGATGATTTGAGTTGGCGTTAAGACGAATTTTTGAATGTGTCTCGTCTTTTTCTTAAAAGGATGATTTATTATCCAAGCTCAGCAACCATCATTAACGATTACTGTCATTCGTTCGTATCAGCTGTTCGATTTTAAGCGTTTATAAAATAATGATCGGATATATCAACGTATTAAATTCAGCTAATATATTACGACAAGTTGCTTCGACATTTAGAATCTATATGGATAACTCTGATTTCAGCTGGCAAGCACAAATGACCACAATAATCTAATCTGAGTTTGGCATATCTCACAAGCAAAAATCACCTAAATTCAAACATTGCATATCATATTACTTCGACTACGCGTCAAGTTTCTGTATGGATGTTTCGATTTGCAATCGATTTGCTGAGAATTATCCAAATCAAGTATTACCACTGATTAAGGGCAATGACTCATGAAAATTGCATAAGTGATCTTCTCATTTCTTGATAATTATTGATTTCTGGCTCATTAATACCGTGTCTTCTTATCAACAAATTGAGCACTACCTTTTATGCGCACTTTTTCGATCCCATTAACTGATCGTATGAGGAATTAAATTCAGTACAAGAATTTAGTGAACATATCAAATGTACCCAATAATCGCAATGCATATAAACCTCGAGAATACTATAGCTGACCTAGCTGAATGCTGATTGAGCCTTAATTATCTTGCTGAAAGGCAACAGTGGACGTAATTTAAGTTCGATGATCTTCCACCTTCAAAAAATTTATTGACGATAGTGAATACGAAATGACCCGACAGCTGTGATATTTGGTCTTTCTTTTGGATCATGTAAACGCATAAAGTGCTATATAGTGATAAGTCAACATGTATTCTCGTGATTTTTGGCTTCTTCTTTAAGAAATATTGATACTGACACGAGAAGTAGCAGTGGTAATGAAAACAGTGAACATATAAGCAATTCTTCTAATAATAGTAACAATCGTAACATTAATATAATGTCATTACAACTGATCTATAAAGATAGAGCACCTGGTTGTATTTCAAAATTGAAGTACAAAATTCATTAAACGTACTTGATTTGAGTTAATCCAACGAATGCTATAGGAAGAATAATGAACCGATTCAGTAACTAGCTGGTAGTAACTATCAGCTATGTTTGGGACGTTCATTTCGTTCAGTTCTGATATCAATAAAGGAGCAGAAATTAACAAAAAGATATTTCCTTTGATGGCAATTTTTGTGACTAATGTCATTGAAGCGCCAAAAAACGAAGAATTGATATTTTTGACGCACTTCACCTGTGAAGTATTTTATTTTAACATTAAGGAA